ACCTGTTTCTGATACAGTGCAGACCTTCTAGCTGTTCGTTATGACTTCCCATGCGTTTGTGAGGATTTAGGGAGAACTTGTCACCTAGTTGTGTCGTAGATGCTGTCTGTGGTTTTTGATTTTGCTATTCTAGTTGCTCTATCAATTTGGTAAGATTTGGGGATATTCAAAAACTATACACCCACCTCCCTTCCACATTTTTTTGTAATAAAGTCATTTTTAGCATCATAAATTGAACACTTAATTTGATGATTTCCATTTTCAATTTTTAAAATAAACTTATCTAAAGCTAAAGGTGCGACAAATACCCCTTTAGCTAACACCATCGGTTTTGTTTTTCTAATGTTAACTGTGATCCTATGGCTTAGGTGGGGAATATCAAGTTTCTCCATAAGGAAGTGCTTATGGTTCCCCGCATTGGAGCAGTTCAAAGTATTTTCATTGCTCATCCGTGATAAGCAATTTGCAATTTATTGCTAATATTTCTCTTTAACCCATGAATCTATACTTGTATATTTTTAAATTTCTGAGAATATGGAACATTTTTACTATACTTTCTTATTGCTTTCTACATAAACTACATTGAAGTCAGGAAGGCAAAGTTCTATTTCTGTTGTTGATTCTTTGACATTTGTTTAGACTTTGACTGTCAATTAGTCATGCATAAGTAATTTTTAGAAATCCATATGACTATACAGTTCTGATATTTGCATATAAAACTCCATGTGTGTGCATGGGTCTGCATGTGTGTTTATACACATATACATATATAATTGTGTATGTGTGTGTATATCTGTTTATGGCAGCCAAATTTTAAAAATAAATATAAATCAAGCTTGTCAACCATCTTTTCCGATTGTCTGTATCTTTATATGTTTTATTTTCATAACCCATTGGTTTCTGACTGAGGTCACTTAAAATCTTCTAACATGGTTATAAATTCGTCAAACTTAACTTTTAATTCTTCAGTTTTGCTTTATGTACTAAGCCTATGATGTTGAATACATTAAAATTCTTAATTCATAAAGTTTCCTGATTGAGGAATTATCCCTCTCTGTTACTGTTTATCACTTTTTCATAAATTTTATTTTACATAATATTAATATTGCTATACCAACTTTCTTTTGGTAACTATTTGCTTGACATATCTTTTTCCTGCCCCTTATTTTCACCCTCTGGTGTGGTTTTGTTTCAGGTTTCTCTAACTGAAAAATATCCAATCTGATAATGTGTGTCTTAAATTAGTAAGTTTAACCTATTTAAATTCGTGAATACTGATGTATTTGGACTTATATCTACATCCTTAATTTGGGGTTTCTATTTACCATACTTTTTTTCATTCCTTTTTCCTAATGTCTGTTTAATTGAGATTATCCTCTACATTCCTCCTTTTCTACTCCGTTTACAATGCATACATTGTACTGTAATCTAATTTTTTTCCAAAGAAGTCTGAAGTTACTCAATAATTCTAACCTATCCCCAAATATGACAAGAGCCTTAGCAGACTTTCAATATCTATTGATTACTCCCTCCAATTTATTACTGTTCACTAGAGTTTTCATTTTACCATTTTTCAAAATACAAAAGGTTTTTTCCCCACAATTAATAGCTAAGTGTATAGATTATTGTGATTCATCCATTTCTATACTTATCATTGGTTTTTGGTTTTTTTTTTACCCTGCCCCTCCGTATTTACTTTTCTTCTTGCTGAAATACACATTATAGTGATGACAGTAGCAATTACAAAGATCAAACAACAAAAATTGTGTGGGAAGTCAGGGACCCTGACTGGAGGGACCGGCTGAAGCTGCAGCAGAAGAACATAAATTGTGAAGGTTTCATGGACATTTATTAGTTCCCCAAATTAATACTTTTATAACTTCTTACGCTTGTCTTTACTGCAATCTCTGAACATAAATTGTGAAGATCTGAGGGACACTTATCACTTCCCCAATCCATACCCTTGTGATTTCCTATGTCTGTCTTTACTTTAATCTCCTAATCCCGTCATCTTCTTCGTAAGCTGAGGAGGATATAAGTCGCCTCAGGACCCTGTGATAATTGCGTCAACTGCACAAATTGTTTGTAGAGCATGTGTGTTTGAACAATATGAAATCTGGGCATCTTGAAAAAAGAGCAGGATAACAGCGATGTTCAGGGAACACCAGAGATAAGACTTCTGGCCGCCAGTGAGCCGGACAGAACAGAGCCGTATTTCTCCTCTTTCTAAAGCAAATAGGAGAAATATCACTGAATTCTTTTTCTCAGCAAGGAACATCCCTGAGAAAGAGAATGCGCCCTGAGGGTAGGTTTACAGATGGCCCCTTTAAGGCCTGCTGTCTTCTATGGTCTAAGCTGAAGGGATGAAATAAGCCCCCGGTCTTCTGTAGGGCTCCCAGGCTTATTAGGAGGAGGAAAATTCCCACCTAATAAATTGTGGTCAGACAGGTTATCTGCTCTCAAACTGTTTCCTGATGTTATCAATGACAAAGCGTGCCTGAAACTTTATTAGCAATTTTAATTTCGCCCCATCCTGTGGTCCTGTGATCTCGCCCTGCCTCCACTTGCTTTGTGGTATTTTATTAGCTTGTGAAGCATGTGATCTCTGTGACCCACATTCTATTCATGCACTCCCTCTCCTTTTGAAAATCGCTAATAAAAACTTGCTGGTTTAAGGCTCGGGGAACGTCAGGGATCCCGCCTACATGTGATGTCTCCCCCAAGCCCCCCTCCGGCCCTGACACCCAGCTTTAAATTTCTCTCTCTTGAGCTCCTTCCCTTTATTTCTCAAACCAGCCGAGACATTTAGGAAACAGAAAAGAACCCACGTAACCAGCGGGTTCTCCCGATAAAAAATACCTTAAAACATAACAATAAAATGTTTAAAATTGTCTCTGTAAAATTATTATTAAGTCTAAAACTCCTATTCACAGGGGAATAAACTGAAAGAGGAAAAAACAATTTGTTTAGAGTTAAGATTAGGTCAGAATTAGTACCAACACTTTAGTTGAGTTTAGGAATTCAGAAAATACCACAACCTTCTGACTCCACTCTCCATACCATTCTTGGAACCAAAACTCCCCTTTCGGTCATAAGCAGGCCCCACATACAAAGGAGTGTCATGAAAAAAAGCAGAATATAGAAAAATAGGCAATGAATTCAGAAGAGCTGAGTTCCAGCTCTAGCCATGTTACTAACTGCTGCAGCAACTTTGGGTAAGTCACTAAACCTTTTGGGACCTCATTCCTCATGGCTGAAGTCAAAATGATCTACCTTGCGAGATTTTTATTAAGAGGAGTAAATGAAGCAATGAACACAGATGCACCTTATATAAGAAGATTAGATACATACATACACATGAGCATAATTTTTTAACTACATGCAGAATATACAGTAGCATTATCAGTTTAGATTAGTAATGTGTGCTAAAATTGGACTGGACCCAAAACAAATATGAAACAAGGTGAAGGCTAATTTCCTATCCACTTCCTACTTCCCATCGTCTGTGGCAGCCTTGATTTTCCCTCCATTAAAATGCTAGAAGTGCCTGGCGGCCTTCATTGCCTCTTTCATGGCACGCAGGCTTACAAATCAGGGCGCACGGCCCTTTCTTATCTCTTTAATGAGGTAAGCTGGGCTGAGCACCTGTCTGCTACTGTGACCTGGACATCATATTACTGGCACCACAGCTACTCTTGCACATTAATTTTAAATGACATCCCTTCACTTGGACATATTTCCCAGATTTTGACCTGTCTTTGTTCATCTCATTTTAGTTCCCTAATAAATCTATATCCTTATTAATCATTATTTTTCCTAACTTGGAAAACAGTCAGCTATTCCAAGTAGTGAGAATGCTCATTTAAGATCCCCTGAGATCCAGCATGGATGGTCTTTCTGTGTAAGGCTAACCTATTACTGCTTTATCACAGTCACAAAATAATAGCACATCCAGAGGCAAACAGAAAGAAAAAGAAGAGAAGGGGAGGGCAGTCCTGTTCAGTTATCTCCTGCTATATGACTTACAGAATACAACAAAACAATGATTACCTATTAGCCTAAGGATGCTATACTATTTGTTTTCATATTAATAACTCATTTAGCTTACATGGCAGGAGAGAGTTTTGTGACAATAATAATTCCCCCTGTTCCAATGAACACGTCTGGAAGGGACATTGCTAAGGAGGTAAAATGAAATACACCCTGTGTTAGTTTAATGCATCTGTTTCTTATATAAAAACAGAGACGGTTTTTAAAACATGAGTGAAGGATAAGTGGTATGGCAAGTTTTTAGGAAATGGAATCAAGCTTGTAGGGATTTCATAATTTGAAAAAAAAAACAAAAAAAAAAAAAGATGCACACAACGTATTAGGATAACATCTAACAGATGCAAGGAGTTAGGAAAAGGCTCCATGCATCCTAACATATACTTCAAGAATAGCAGCAATTAAGACATCCCACAGCAATTAAGACACCTCACAGCAACATGCAAAGCCAGGGAGGGTGAGGAAAGTGCCTGGGGACAAGACACAGTTTACAGTCCAAGCCAATAAATCGTCAGGCCCCTAAGGTACCTAGAAATTCATTTCTCTCTAACAGCATGAAAATATAATTTACTTCTCCTAACAGAACTAAGAATGACCTGATCACAGGTTTCCAAGTTGTACCTTCAGCCATCCTGGATTAAAGGTGAATTTGAGCCACAGACTATTCTCCATTCATAAGAAGTAACCCAGAGAAAGGTGGGTCAGTATTGAGAGAAAGGATAAGGACAGACAACTGAAAACTAAGGCTTTTCAATTTCTGTAGTTACACAAGAAATCAGTCAAAAAATATGGAGGCACAACTATACACAAGCTGTCATTAAGTATGGATGATTCACTAAGGCAAAATAAGGCAAGCAAGGATGACTATACTGGTCTCATTGAGCTAAATGTTAGTGACCTCAATATAAAACGTCTATGACATCCTCAGCCATGAGAAACATCTCAAGACTCACCTCATGTTTGGAGAAGAGCCGCACGGCCTCCAGCTGGTGGAAAATAGGGTAGTGCTGGGAGTCGATCTGGTCACGCCTGTAGACATCACCCACCACCAGGAAGGCATCTAGCCCCGCGTGCAGCAAGTCCCACTGGTGTGCAGACGTGTGCGCTCTCAGCATGTGAGTCCGATTCAGGTAATAGTTGTCCCCCTTCTTCCTGCTGGGGTGGTCGGCTGGGATGAGCAGGCTGTCAAAGTTCTGCCAGGTCGTGACCACTGGAGAAAGGCTGTCGTAGACCGAGAACAACGGGGTCCCGAAGCGGCCCACGTACTGCTTGTAGAAGTGCTCCTTCACCCTCTCCTTGATCAGCCACAGAGGGTGGTGCTGCTGGTTGTGCAGGTTCCTGCCAACTCTGGTGAGGACCTTCCGGGTGAGGTTGCTGTAGTCGTCCTGAGGGTAGGATGTGCCCAGCAGCTCCACCACACTGCCTGGAGCTCTCTGGGCAGCACACTCTGCTGCAGCAGGTCTCGATCCCCAGGCCTGGTGCTGATGGCCCCTGGAGATGTGACTGGCCTTGCTCACCAGGTAGACATAGGCATGGGCACCTCTCCTGAGAGCTGAGCCCATCATTGTAGAAACTTCTCACGGGTTCTGGAAAGAGCACACAGGCAAAGCACAAGTCAGGTGTCACTCTGTGGAAAGCAAGTCTGTTCTTTGTGTCTCCCACCAGCTGCCTCTTGTCATACTGGCATGTCTCCCCCACTATGACCTCCACACAGCTGAAAGAGCCAATTAAAGACACCTGACAGATGCGTGATACTTAATGCACTAAATCAGAAGGTTCTTGGAAGTCACTTTTAGATCCCTAATCTCTAGTTGTCCTTCCTTTGTCATTCAGATCCTTGGCTTTGTACAAAACCTCATTTATTATGTTATCATGTCCTGAACTTGTGATGTGGAAAAAAACTTTAAATGTGACAACCTGTACATTATAGAGCCAAAAACCTTTAGAGGGATCCCCTAAAATACAGCATTTAATTGGACCCTACTATGGGTCCCACTAATAAAGGAAGCAAATGATTCGATAGAGGCCTCTGAAGGAGAGTGGAAGAGAAGAGATTAGAAGAGCCATCCTTCACATTTCTACCAATCATTAGAAGTTCTCTTTATCTCTGACATAGCATAACTTCTGGATTACTTCACTAGATCACAAAGGGATACTACTAATTTTTTTAAAAAGTTTTAAATAAAATACACCACTTTAGATGGTGGTTAACTTTAATATTTTAAAAATAAAATAGAAAATCTAAGGAAATGTTATACAAAGTGGTAGCCTATATCAATGGACAGCTGTAAACGCAAGTCTTCTCCCATCTGGTCACTTAAACTTCATACCTTTGTGGCGCCTTTTCAATTACACCTTTGGCAAAACAGCAGATTTCTACTACACACCCACAATTAACCAGAAACAGGACTAAACTTGTTAGGGGAGAGGGACAGAGCAGCCGGAAGACAGAGCACTGACCTAGATTTTTAAGTAACTAAAATGCCTAGAATTTAATAAAATCACCAAACTTTACAGCTGAAAGTCACCTCAGCTGTCATCTAGTATAGGCGGTTCAAGTCACGGATGAGGTAAGAAAGACCTAAGTGTAACAGCGAAACTCTAAGCTAGTGGAAGAGTTCAATAAGACAATCGCAAAGGGCTGTGGACCACTCACACGGTGTCTTCTTCCCACTCCCACAGAAGCCCGTGATGCACTCACTCAGGGATCCCAATAAGGAGAGTCTTGAGATGTCACTTCCCAATGTTCACAAATAATTTATGTTCACAAACTTCAATTATAAAAATCCATCTTCTAAAATGTGGAATTCTTCCCTACTGGGCTACTTTAAAGCATACAACTACGTGGCTGTTTTACTGCAAGGGCCGTGCAATTATACCAAGAAAATATGTAACTTCATGATATGAAGCTGCATTAGGAGAGAATTATATTGTTCCAAGTCACTATCAAAGGCACAGTCTGTCCCTGGACAACACAATCCACCTGACTCCAAATTAGAACTGAGGATATCTAGCTTCAAGTTGAAGGGCTGTGCTTGCGTGTGATTGCTTCTTAGAAGCCGTGCACAGCACCTTTGTCTGAGACTGTCATCACTTGAGACATTTTCAAAGACACCCAGGAACTCTCTGGTTTTATTCACTTATGGCATTATTTTGTCAGAGTTGTTGCAAAAGGGCTTTTGGCTGAGCTTCAACTGAAATGTCTTCCCATCTAGTGTTCAGTGACTTGTCACTGCAGTGGATATGAATTTTAAATATGCATATGCAGCCTTACATGTCTTAGCACAAAATGAAACCGTGAGGTTATTAGCTACCTAACTCAGCACCCTCGCCAAAACACAGGAAAACCTTTCTTCCTTCCAAAGGCATATGCTGTTAGACAAAGTTCAGAATTGTTCTGGGAAAGGTGCTTCTGATGCAGTTACTTGTGCGCTGCTGTCGATGCTTTTCCTTCCCAGTTTCCTGCTCTTCACACATCCAAATCCACACTTAGGTTCCATTCCCAGGGATGCGCCCCAGCCTCGTGTCCCTTCCTTGCTCTCCTCACACAGTCCCCAGCTTCCCGATGAAAGTTTGAGGTTCTTGCCCTCGTTTTCAGGCCTTCTATCTATCTGCTCAGCCCTGCTTACATTCTTCACTGTCATTCACCCCACCCAGAAAAGTATTTGTCCTCTATTACCATCTCTAACAGAGGGAAAGGGATGACTAGGAGAGCCTTCCCACTTCTATCTGAGAAGTGACTTCCTTTCCTCCCACCTCTATCAAATTTCTCTATAAGAAATATATCATCTGGAAATACATAAGAGACCCAGGAGGATAAGACCAACGACGTTCATACTTCTATTAACACACTGTTCTTCCATTTGATCCTTCAACAGTTCTGTGATGTAGGTATTGTACATACCACTTTACCAACAAAGAATATAAAGCTCAAAAAGATCACGTAACTAGCATAAATTCATATGCCTAGCTAGCCATGAGACACAGTTCAGAATTCTTGGCAATTCAAATATAGCTGACCCTCAAACAACATGGATTGAACTGTGAGGATCCACTTACACGCAGATTCTTTCCAATAACAGTTACACTGAGTGCGACTGCCCCTCCTGCCTCCCCTGCCACCTCCTCTATCTCTTCTACCTCTGCCAGCCCTGAGAAGGCAAGACCAATCCCTCCTCTCCCTCCTCAGCCCACTCAATGTGAAGATAAGAATGAAGATCTTTAGGATGATCTACTTCCACTTAATAAATAGTAAATATATTCTCTCTCCTCATGATTTTCTTAATACCATTTTCTTTTCTCTAGTTTATTGTAAAAATACAGTATATAATGCCTGTAACATATAAAATATGTGTTAATCAACTGTTTATGTTACCAGTAAAGCCTCCAGTTAACAATTAGTAGTTAAGTTTGGGGGAAGTCAAAGGTACACAGGAATTTTCAACTGACTGAGGGAGGGTAATCAGTGCCCCCAAAGCCCCCATGTTGTCCAGGGGTCAAGTGCATTTCTCAGTAGGGTGTGGTGGCTCACGCCTATCATCCTAACACTCCGGAAAGGCAAGGCGAAAGGATCACTTAAGCCCGAGAGTTCGAGAGCAGCCTGGGCAACGTGGCAAGACCCTGTCTCTAGAGAAAAAAAATTCTTTAATAAATTAGCCGGGTATGGTGGCACACACCTGCAGTCCCAGCCACTGGGGAGCTAAGGCAGGAGGACTGCATGAACCCAGGAGTTCAGGCTTCAGTGAACCAGGATCGCACCACTGCACTCCAGCTTGGGTGACAGAGTGTGACCCTGCCTGACCAAAAAAAAAAAAAAAAAAAAGTATTATTTCTCAATCAAACGTCCAAGATTAAGTTCAAATGATATCTCCGCAATGACCTCCCTTAATTTCTATTTTATCTAATTGAGATTATATATCAATGTGTTTTTAAACACATAAATGCATGAATAAGTAAATCCAATAAAACACATCAGTTTAGATGGTAAAAATGAAGTAAGTATTTAACTACAGACCTAAGGGTCAAATCTGCCCACAGTCGTCTGTTTGGGTTTTTTTGTTTTTTTTTTTTTTTTGGTTTTGGTTTTTTTTTGTTTTTGAGACAGGGTCTCACTCTGTCACCCAGACTGGAGTGCGGTGGGATGATCATGGCTTACTGGAGCATCGACCTCCCAGACTCACGTGATCCTCCTGTCTCAGGCTCCAGTGGCTCCCTGCCCCAGAGATAGCTAGGATTACAGGTCCAAGCCACTACACCCGGCTAACTTTTGTATTTTTTGTAGAGATGAGGTTTCGCCATGTTGCCTAGGCTGGTCTCAAACTCTCGGCTCAAGTGAGCTGCCCACCTCAGCCTCCCAAAGTGCTGGGATTACAAGCATGAGCCATTGTGCCTTGCCCATAGTCTGTTTTTGCAAATAAAGCTTGTTGGAACACAGCAACAGCCATTTGTTGATTTAACATCTGCAGTGGCTGTCTTGCTATCAAAGTAAGATTGAATAGCTGCTATAGAGACTGTGTAGCCCACAAAGCCTAAATACTCACTATCTGGTCTGTTATAGAAAGAGTTTGCTGAGCCCTGTTTTAGCTTAACCTACTGAAAAATTTTTCCACATTATTAATAAAATCTTCCTAGTCACAAATATATGTAGATTATAAAGTCACAAAAAAGGAGCAAGAATACAAATGTAGACATGAAGTATGTTGGCACTGGTACAAAAGAAACAATCAGACCAACTATAAGAAGAGAAAATACAGTATAATGGGCAACAGGCCAGACTTCGCAGAGATGCCAATGTTGGTTTGATCCTAAGTTGACCTCTTAGCTGCCGTGTATCATCCTTAAAAACATTATTTAACCTTTCTGGCCCTCAAGGTCCTCATCTGTAAAACAGAGAAAAATAATACCCATCTCATAATGAAAAGATTACACTAGATTGTGTTCATCAGCTAATTAACTCATTGCTCAGTGTTTAACAGATAAGATGAGCTGAATTCAGAGTTAAAAGTGACCCAGAGATTTCAAGAGATCAGGTAATGGATGAACTAATAAAGTCATTCACTGATACAGAGAACTCAGAATGGGTTTTCGTTGTTTGTTCAGATCATCTTTTGTAGAGGGAAACAGATTTGGACAAACGGAAGTTCAGTATGAATGAGATAGCCACATTACAATTTCTGTAAGGCAATTCGAGTTATATTATAGTTTGGAAAGGAGGTAAGACATTAGCCCTGGAAATGTAGACCTTGGAGGTAATTTGCATAGACGGAAGAGTTAATATCACAAGCATATATAAGAATCCATGGGAGGCTAAGAGCAAGATAGAAGTGGGCAAAAGATAGAAGAATACTTGGAACTTAGCACATTGAAGGGAAGGGGATGTAAGGAGTAAGACAGAGGGGACATAAAGGGTGCCACAACACAGAAGTCAGGGGAAAAGACATCTAGAAGGAAACCGGGGCCTTTTCTGAACCCAAATACCACTCAATGTGCAAGTTTAGCGTGCCGTATTATTACTACCTGCTGTTGTCTCTATTCCTACTAGACTGTGTGGTTCTTGAGAGAAGAACACACAGTCACACATATATAT